AGATTTAATGCTGTCTTTGATATTTTGTATACCCTGTCATATCGTATTTTCATATCATGTTTTTAACATTATTACATACTTTTCGCTTCACTCATACTTACGCTAATTAAATTGTACGTATTGTAAGATTCATTATATTCCTGTAAAAATGTAATTAAAAGTTTTTTTTTAATTTAAATTTTGTTTATTAGTTTTTCACCATCATCTTTAAATTGTCTAGGCTGTATAAATATAAGCCCTGTGTACACGGATGAGATGTTGACTAAAGTAAATACAGCAATGGTAAACATTGTAGGCAAAGGATCATTGTTGCTTAAAGACATTTTATAAGCATTCCAAATTTCCTACAATGGTAAACAATGTAAACAAAGGATTATTTTTGTTTAAAACTAATTTATAATTATTCTAAATTTCAGTAGTATACACATACTTTTTTGTTAACTTCATTACAATAATTTTGACTCTGAATTTCTTTATTTAGCTACAACACTGTTGCTTTTGATAAGATTTATTAATTTTTCTTCGGTGATTAAAATTGAAATTATCAAACATTTACGTATGTAGGAACATTGACTACTTGAAAACAAAAAAAGAAAAAAAAATAGTAATAAAGTCTTCGAAAAAACACAAGTGATTTGAGATTTATTATTTATAGTTCTGTTGTAAAGTTTCACATTTTTATTCAGTCAGTTTTCAATTCAGTTAAAAGAATTTCAAACTCTTAAAGTATTTTTCATCGAGTATTGTAGAATTGAGAAACCCAAGTGAAATTTATGTGTCTATGCATGTATTAATTTTAAATTTAATTACAAATAAAATTATTTTATTTACCCAAAAGAAAGACAATTCAGAATGTTTTCAGAAAGTCTAGTGTAGAAATTCGCATACGTGTTGAACACTTCAAATCTCATTTTTTTTATCATAAATCACATCAAAAACAATGCAAAAGAAAAAAGTCTGAATGAAATAGTTACACAACACTATTTTATTCAGCATTTTCGTAACAATAAAAAAGTAATGCAACAATAAAAAATTAGTTATTATTTTTTTTAACTTATTGTACTTCAGAACAAAGTCTAAAGATTTCGGAATACAATGAAAATACATTTGTTTTCAAAAAAATACTGTATACACAATCGATATTTAATACATTTTTTAATTATTCTTTTAGTTAAAATGTAAAACAAGCTTGAAAAATCTTAACTTTACGCTAAAAAATTTCAGATTTTTCAATCCATATTTTTAAATGGGCCTAAAACTAATGATTAAACCATTGATTAAAAACAGTTTCCAAAATATATCAAAAGAAATCTATTAGAAGGCAATGGCTAATTTATATAAAATGCGCAAGTAATATTACGTATGTGATTCAGATAATAGAGAGTTTTTGCATACCGTACGTTAGTTACCGTAGGACGTCCGTTAGCTTTTTCTCCCTAGCGCGCATTCTCATAGGAAATTATGTTTCCTATACGTTATTCCGTACGTTAGTTACCGTAGGACGTCCGTTAGCTTTTTCTCCCTAGCGCGCATGCTCGTAGGAAATTATGTTTCCTATACGTTATTCCGTACGTTAGTTACCGTAGGACGTCGTTAGCTTTTTCTCCCTAGCGCGCGCATGCTCACTTAGGAAATTATGTTTCCTATTTTGCGTTAGCGCATGCTCATAGGAAACATAATTTCCTATGAGCATGCGCGCTAGGGAGAAAAAGCTAACGGACGTCCTACGGTAACTAACGTACGGTATGCAAAAACTCTCTATTATACTGGCTTCCGAACATTAAGGAAATGTCAGAAAAATTAAAATTGTAAAATTTCCAGTCATTGGTACTTAATTAAATTTGGAAAAAACTTTAATTAAAAAGTGTTTTTCAAAGTATGTAAAAATAAAAACAATAAGCTCATTTTGTGTCTTGAAAATACAAAAAATGGAAACATGTCAAAAAGTACAGTTTATTAAAGTTCAATAATTGATCAACTTTAATATGAAGTATTAAATAGAACAGTCAGTCATACATGCACGGAAACTATGTTTCAAGCTCAAATTCAGATTAAAACTTAATTATTTATTCTGTTAGAAGAAAATGCTGTATCAATGGAATTTCCAGACTCTGAAAGGTTGCAAAAGGAACAGAACTACAGAAATATGTTTTCCTAGATGTATGTATTTTTTATAGTATATAATTTGATACATTTCGATCAATATCATAGTATTTCAAAAGAAGTAAAAATTATATTAAACGTAATGTAGATCATATCTAAAAAAAGGAAGAATTTTATACATTTCATGATTTTTATTTTAAAAAGTACAGCAAGACATATGACATATGACGTCATATGACCTCTTGTTCATCGGTTATTATTACTTTCATCAATAAAGAATACGAACCCTCATGTTTACGGAAGGAAAATAAGGAAAAAAAACACAAAACCTTACATTCTCATTATTGATCCATTTATATAACAAAATATAGTATAGTTTTAAGTTAAGTTCGTCGCTCTATGGTCATTTTTCGCATACTGTAAACTAATTAGACCGGGACCTACGCTTAACGTAGATTCCGAATCACTAACGAACATCTAAGCCACCACGAGAATTCGAACCTAAAGCCTGTGATATCAAATGAAAAAGCTCTAGTCAATTGGCCATCAAGCCGCAAGCATAGTTTTAAGATGGCAATGTTTCCATCTAAAATTCTAGAATTTTAAATACCAGACATGTTAAGAAATCTAAAATCTTACAATTAAATTTTTACGCAAAGCTACCGCAATTAAATGTAGACAAATTTTATATATTCTTGCACAGAAAGATCATAACTGATAACTCTAACTTTTATGCTCTTTTTCCTTTTCATAGATTAATGATTCATAGAGTCAAGCAGTTTTCCTTTAATCAATGTTGCAATATGTGATGTTAATGCTGAAATTCTATGAATGATATTAGCAGATGATGCATTATTTCGAATATGATTTTTGATACACATACAATTTTATATTTTTTTTTTATTACTTTAAATCATTGGTAACTGGAAGAATCTCAATTTTAATGTTTTAATTTCGAGCACCTAGTTAATCAGTATAATCTTGATTGCCGTGCTTGATTCATATTAAACTTGAAATTGTATGTTATGTAACTACGTATTGAAACTTTTTTGTATAAAGACAGCAACTAATATCGTTTAATATTTCAATAGTAAAAGCTTTCTCCGGTTTAATAATTTATTCATTTAATTTACTTTTTTCCCTCGTTTTTCTTTAGTTCCTTTTGATTTTAGTGAAATGAAGGCAATTAATTTTAATTTTAAATTTATTTGATCTGTTTGCCTATTATAGCGGGAAAAGGGAGATTGAGTATCGTTGGCAAGCAATCTTTTTTTTTTATGTGATTGAGAAATTTCTTCCAAAAATATCATGAGTTTACTGCCATCTTAATAACATTAAAAGATTATAAACTTTAAATAATTTTAAATCAGATATATGGGGCAGTAAAATAATTTTCTTAGTAAAGTAACAATAGAACAAATGAGGCCCATTATATATATATATATATATATATGTAGCAGCCTTATTATTACTTGCGAATAATAGGCTATTTCACCCACATTTTTTAACAAAATAGTTTAACAGAAAAAAATTATTTAATTTTAACAGAAATTGATGTATAACTGGTTATAATTTATGTATTAAAAATTTGTCTCTTGCATTTAAATTTCCTATTTCACCGTATCAAGTCCTCAGAATACCTATCTATTTTCACTTCTATAACAAATTTAAATATTATAAATAAATAATTAAAATATTATATTACATTAATTAATGTAATATAATATTTAATATATTAAATATTAAAATAATGACATTTAAATAATTAGGCCCGAATATTAATTGCTTAAACTGTAGTTTCAATTTATAGCAGTTTTTTTTTTCTTCTTCCAATATATGCACTGTATGTACCGTATTTATTGCATCATACTTGGTATGGGATAAGCGGGTTATTGTAACGAAACATCATACATGATTATTCGATAAAAAATCATATAATTTATAGTACCAATTCATAATTTTAATTTGAAATAAAATATTATATTTGGTAATCTAATCAATGAATCGCATCTTTTATAAATCCCAGATTAATTTGAATAACTTATTAAATTTTTCCAAAATAACGGTATATAATAACTGTGCAGTTAAAATATGGATAAAACAGGAAATTATATCAAGTTTCATATCCATATAGTGCATTGCATGTAATACATGCACTGTGATAAATATAATCACCATTTAGAAAACATTATTTTGAAATTATTATTTCTCACGATGTCTCTGCAATGATTGCACGTGTATTTATTTATGTTCGCGATAAACACCGGTCATGACCGCTTTTTTCTGACATACTATAAGGTCAGAATTCAGTATCGCCACACAGCAAATAAAGAACGAATCACGAGTTACCATGAGGTGAGCCTGCATTCGATATCCCGCTGATTGGTTAATGCAGCAAGCGTGACTGGAACACACCCACATTGTGGTAACGAACCTCTCTGCCTTATCCTTAGATAAAATGTGGCTGATTAAACATTTCATTTGATACTTTCTTAGTTTAATTAAATAAGAATTGTTGTTGTTTGCTGTAATTTTTGTATACACACTCACTTAAAAAATAATTAAATTTATGACTCACTTAAATTGTATTTTTATGGTATTTTATTGTGTTGTTGTTTCTTATCCCACTTGGCTGGCCAAGTCCACGAGCCCATACGTACTCATGATTGTAGAGAAAGGAAGCAGCTTCTGTTGTAATGAAGCATCCGTAGGTAGAAGTCTGACTTTGGCTCCGTGACGCTCTTACAGTCATAGGAGACCGGGACCTACGGCTTAAAGTGGATTCCGAACCACTACAGACATCCATGGCACCGCCGGGATTCGAACCCCGAAACCTGTGGCACCGAGAGTCAGAGCGCTAGACACTCGGCCATTCAGGTCCCAAATTTGTGAATGCCAACGGCACGCGGTGTTCCCAGGTGGTCACCCACCCAAGTACTGGCAGCGCCCAATGATGCTTGACTTCGGTGATCGAACGAGAACCGGTATTATTCAGCATGGTATGGCCGTTGGCCGTTTGATTGTAATAATTATTTTGTGTAACGGAATTATGATAAATTTCCGTGAAAAATCTGTACTTTAATAAAAATCCAATTTTCTTTGAGATTTTTATTGTTTATATTAATCCAATGATTTTATTGCACTAAAAATATCTACTCAGTATTTAATTATTGCTCTTCAAGATTCATAATCGATTTAAATAAAAACATTTCGACTCAATATATTTTATTAATGCAAACAAAAATGTTGTATTAATATTGGATAGATATTAAATATAATCAAACGGCCATACAGATTGTCCAGCAAATTTAACTAGATGTGTTAGGTTTTGTATAATAGTTTGTATTTATTAGGCATGGTGTGTTAGGTCCTGTTGGCTTGAACACGAAGAAAACATTTTTTGTTGCAATTTTTTTTTATCAGAATAGGAAACCAATAAAAATGAAATAAGTTTTTAAAATTTCCCTATTCATTCACAATTGTATTAAAAAATGAACTTAATGTTAACGAGTACAATGTAAAAGTATTATAAGACGGAATTAAGTGGGTATTACATAATATAGCATGAGTATATATTATAATTATTTATTAATATGATTAATAAACAACTGCATTCTGTCGCAACATGTAAAATAAAGGCAATTTAAACTTTAAAGCAAAACAATATTTTTAGTTAATTTTTTTTTTATTTACAATTTGAAACAATTATTATTATTATTATTCTATTCTATGAAAGCATTTGTGGCTTGATGCTGTGAACCGGCATAATAAATGCCGAACTCAAGGAACCTTATTATGTGACCCTTGTTCTCCGAAGTCCCTGTAGGATAATATAACAGGTGGACTGAAACATTCATAGGCTGACACATAGATGGCGCTACTAGTACTATATCCATATGATTTTTAGTTAGCCTTAACCTTCAAAAGACACGTGTATAAATTTGACAGCTGTTGCACTATTAGTATGTGGGTTATAGCAATTTTAGTGAAGTTATAGCATTTTTAGTGTTTATCACGTGCAGTCCATTCGGCTGACTGTCGATTGGACTCGGGTATGAAATGATGGAGCCATGTTTCATCCATTGTCATTCATCCATTGACGCAAAAATTCGGGTTTATTAAGATTGAACAGCTCCAAACACTGCTTAGAATCATCAATTCGTTGTTGTTTTCGGCCGATTGTGAGCTCTGCGCGGCACCCACTTTGAACAGAGCTTTCGCATATCCAAATAGTCATTCACGATATGTTCAACACGTTCCTTTGATATCTCTCAGCACGGGTCTCAGCTATCTCAATCAACTTCACTTTACAGTTATCAGAAATTATTTTGTGGACTTTTTTGCTGTTTTTGTCGGTAACAGCCTCTTTGAGGCGTTCACTGCTTGCATCGACCTTGGTGCTCATTTCGCCTCGTTTAAATTTAGCAAACCACTTCTCAACGGTTGATTTTCCTGGTGCAAAGTCCGAATAATGCTTATCAAGCCAAGCCTTGGCTTCAATAGTATTTTTTTTCGCCAAAAAGCAATGCTTTAATTAACACACGAAATTCCTTTTTATCCATTTTTTCAAACTAACAAAAGTTGCTTCACTAAAAATGCTATAACTCACATACTAATAGTGCAACAGCTGTCAAATTTATACACGTGTCTTTTGAAGGTTAGGGCTAACTAAAAATCATATGGATTTAATACTAGTAGCGCCATCTATGTGTCAGCCTACGAATGTTTCAGTCCACCTGTTTATATATATATTAAAAAGTTAACTTTTTAACATACTATAAACTGTCCACTGTCATTTATTCTTATTACATAATTTTGCAGATACGGGGAAATAAGGCGGAGTCACTCCCAATCTGCAAGAAGCCTATGAATCTTCTAAGCTTGTCTATCTTTAAATAATGGCTAAATCAACGTAGCAGTTTCCTAGAATGGTAAAAGGATTATTATTTTGTGGAAGAACATTCAGGATAATCGACTTATAGTTCCGTTCGTATTAAGAAACATTTACATATATATATACTTTTATATATATTATTTATATATAGATAGATCTTCTTCTGAATTCTATTTTACGGTTTTGTTAGATAAAACTTATCACAGTATAATACATTTCCATATAGTACAATACATTTCCATACAGATTCTTTAGACATAAGTTTGATTGCACATACGAGATATGATTTTTTTTTAACAATCCCCACCCAATCTATTGGTTTTATAATAATTCAAAGCAATTACTATAACGCCTCTATTCACTGTGAATTTCTGTTTATTTACATATTAGTTTATGTTGAAGATGATGCAAGTCTACCATTTTACAGTTTAGCACGAGACTATGAGTGAGGCGATCTTAATCAACGAATCTAAAATACTAAACATTTTCAAAGATAAAACTCAATTTAAATATCAGATAAGGGCCGAAAACTGGAAAGCAGCAGAAAAATTCACTATATCACTATCGTTATAAGTTCCCTATATCAGTTTAGTAATATTTTGAAAGACATCATAAAATTTAAAGTGTGATATCCGACTTCCGTTTAAAAGAAAGTTGCAGTCTAAAGGATGGGTTTAATTTCAGCACTTAAATTAATGGGATAAAAAATGATAAGAGACATAAATATATTAATAAAGTGTCAGAATTAAAAAAAAGACTTCATGCGATTTTTATTCTGAAATACAGAAAAAAAAAAAACTAAAAATATATTGAAAATATCATTATGCAAAAAAATAAATTCTTGCTAAATTTTTACATCCACAAATAATACAAATAATAATCACAATGAAAATATAATGAGTTTTATTTTTTTAAATAAAGTTCGCTCATTATAATAGTAAAAAATTACTTTTATAAATTAGAAATTTTTATATATATATATATATATATTGGGGGGCAAAGGCTATTTTTTTAGTTATTCATAAATGTCAGAATATTGAAGGTCATTATTATTAAAAAGTTATAACTATTATTACGATTTATTTGTATTTTTTGGTACATAACGCTTTTAACTTAAAAATATTTTGTTTGAGAAACTTTTTTTTTGAAAATTCTTATAGTATAAATAAATATTGTTCCCTTTATTAAGACTTTAGAACACTTTGAGGATTTAAAAGGATACTAAATTGATTGTTATTCTAATTTTATATGTTACATTTAATGCATGCCTTCTTCAAAATTCTAATTTAGAAATTTTAAGTTATATTTTTACTCGACAAAATCCACTGCAGTAGGGTATGTTACTACATAAGATGTTACTCAGAAAATTTTTGCGAAAGTTTTAAAAAGATTTTTACAAAAAAAATAATAATTATAAATGTAATATTTTTATAATTCACTACTTTTTAATAATATCAAAAACAGAAAAGTATTTATTTCGAGAAAACAATCGAAACATTTGTTTTAAAATTTGTTTTAAAACATTTTTGCGATCCTCGTGTTTAGTTCTACATCAAAAATTTTAGAAAATTCTGCTTCTTGACATTCAGCAAACTGATGGCCGCTGGCCGTTGCCTCCACAAGCAGAAATAAGATTCTAATCCTGGCAGTGACATGAATTGTTTCGTTAATGGTTCGGAATCTACGTTAAACTGTTGGTACCGGTGTAATTAACCTAAAGTGTGTAAAAAAAAATGACCGTAGTGTGACAAACCAAATCATGGACATTACTTACTAAAGTTCTGTATTTCAATAGTTCTTTTTTTTTTATATATATAAAAAAGTGAACTTAGTTATATTTCCCAAACAGTATTAAAACGCGCTTATTCAGTGTTGTATTTAGATGTGGCAAATATTTTTTTCCAATACTGAATATATGATTTATCGTCATATGCCAAGGGAAATTATATTAAAATCAGTGTTATCTTAGATTGATGCATCTTAGATAACCAGATGTGAACCAACCAGAATTCATCCAGAAGATCGAAAGAAACGACAGCGAAGGACACGGATACACAGATCGCAACCTGTCTTTACTTTTCTAAAAACCTGCCTTATTATAGATCAGTGTTACTTTAAAATGTTTGCAACATAATTTTGTCCAAATCGCAAATTAGGGGCCGGTTATAATTTCAGCGACTTTTTATAGCACCAAATAAATTATAAGTCGCCAAATGCGGTAACCAGAATTTCTTGAACTGTTTGTAATTTACCTCATTTACAATCCCAACCCATTACTTGGCGGACTTTGGAGAAAAGAATTTTTGACCAAATCCCAACTGCCCCTGTTCTGCGATTTTATCGTAATATTTTTTAAAAATTACTAGGTTTAGATAAAATAAGATAAAAAACAAGATCCAGTTCTTCTCTTTTAATAAACTGAACATTAAAATATTAAAAAAAAATCATTTTTTTATTTACTGTTTTTAATTTATTGCAAACTAAGAGATGAGAACTTTTATGAAAAACACACTAGCTGATGGCAACATCTCTATCAATCAATGTCTTTTTTGAAGTCTCCATTACGTTTGCTATAAACATATTGGCAATTGACAATGATTTGATTGACAATTGACAAAGAGGCTACATAGTTGCCACATAATGCGCTGCTCAAATGCACTAGTCAATGTTTGGTCATATCTTAAAATCTTGATAATATCTCCTAATCTGATATTTCGTAGCCTCTTATATAAAAAGATTACAAATTGTTTTTGCCTTTCATCTAAATGCGATCTCACTATTTTCTCATGCGATATCACTATATTTGTTTATCCCATGTAGAGATTATTTTATGTTACATACAACGAAATTATGCGAATAATATTTATCATTTTATTAAAAATAACAATTTCTAAACTAAAAATCGTTTAAAATTGTAAAAAAATATTTGAGCTTAAAAGCATAAAATACAATTTTCACTGAAATAACAAACTATCCTAGATATTAACAAGTAGTTATATGTTTACTAATTCAGCAATACTTGCTCATATCTGCTAATCTGATCAATGATTTCCGTTGTATCTTATTTTTGTTTGGTTGAGTCTAACCAGGTTAGAAGAGGAAACGTTTAGTTCATA